TTCTTGTAGGGCCCAGGCCTCTTCAGGATCAGGGGTAGGCCCAGGCCCACATCTCTTCTTGTTAGGGCCCAGGCCTCTTTAGGATTAGGGATAGGCTCAGGCCCATATCTCTTCTTGTAGGACCCACGCCTCTTCAGGGTCAGGGATAGGCCCAGGCCCATATCTCTTCATGTTGGGCCCAGGCCTCTTCAGGGTCAGGGGTAGGCCCAGGCCCACATCTCTTCTTGTTATGGCCCAGGCCTCTTCAGGGTGAGGGATAGGCCCAGCCTCTTCAGGGTCTGGGGTAGGCCCAGGTCCTCATCTCTTTGGGCCCAGGTCTCTTCATGGTCAGGGATAGGCCCAGGCGCACATCTCTTTTTGTTAGGGCCCAGGCCTCTTCAGGGTTAGGGGTAGGCACAGGCCCACGCATCTTCTTATTGGGCCCAGGCCTCTTCAGGGTCAGGTATAGGCCCAGGCCCACATCTCTTCTTGTTAGTGCCCAGGCCTCTTCAGGGTCAAGGGTAGGCCTAGGCCCATGTCTCTTCTTGTTGGGCCCAGGCTTCTTCAGGGTCAGGGGTAGGCCCAGCCCCACATCTCTTCTTGTTAGGGCCCAGGCCTCTTAAGCGTGAGGGATAAGCCCAGCCTCTTCAGGGTGTGGGGTAGGCCCAGGTCCTCATCTCTTTGGGCCCTGGTCTCTTCATGGTCAGGGATAGGCCCAGGCCCACATCTCTTCTTGTTAGGGCCCAGGCCTCTTCAGGATCAGGGATAGGCCCAGGCCCATATCTCTTCATGTTGGGCCCAGGCCTCTCAGGGTCAGGGTTAGGCCCAGGCCCATATCTCTTCTTGTTAGGGTCCAGGCCTCTTCAGGGTCATGGGTAGGCCCAGGCCCATGGATGTTATTTGGCCCAGGCCTCTTCAGAGTCAGGTATAGGCCCAGGCCCACATCTCTTCTTGTTAGGGCCCAGGCCTCCTCAGGGTCAAAGGTAGGCCCAGGCCCACATCTCTTTTTGTTGGGCCCAGGCCTCTTCATGGTCATGGATAGGCCCAGGCCTCTGCAGGGTCTGGGGTAGGCCCAGGCCCACATCTCTTCTTGTTAGGGCCCAGGCCTCTTCAGGGTCAGGGATAGGCCCAGGCCCATATCTGTTCATGTTGGGCCCAGGCCTCTTCAGGGTCAGGGGTAGGCCCAGGCCCACATCTCTTCTTATAGGGCCCAGGCCTCTACAGGGTCAGGGGTAGGCCCAGGCCCACATCTCTCCTTGTTAGGGCCCCGGCCTCTTCAGGGTCAGGGGTAAGCCCAGGCCCACATCTCTCCTTGTTAGGGCCCAGTCCTCTTCATTGTCAGGGATAGGCCCAGGCCCACATCTCTTCTTTTTAGGACCCAGACCACTTCAGGGTCAGGGGTAGGCCCAGGCCCACATCTCTTCTTGTTAGGGCCCAGGCCTCTTCAGGACCAGGGATAGGCCCAGGCCCATATCTTTCTTTGTAGGGCCCTTGCCTCTTCAGGATCACGGATAGGCACAGGCCCATATCTCTTCATGTTGGGTCCAGACCTTTTCAGGGTCAAGGACAGGGTCAGGCCCATATCTCTTTTATCGGCCTGGGCCTCTTTAAGTTTATAGATAGGTCTAGGCCCAGATTTCTTCTTCTTTTGGTTTGTTATTCTTCAGCATCAGGGGTAGGCCCAGGCCCACATCTCTCCTTCTCTTGGGCCTGGGCCATATACAGCATTATACTTCATGGTGAGGAATCAATTTATCACCACATTGCTTTTTGCATTCTGTTCGGCCTTTCAGGGTCAGGCTCAGGTCTACTCACACTATTTTTTTTTTTAAGTTCCCAAGGCTTTTTTCATTGGAACCACTGGGACATTCCTTCATATCTTACCATTGAGGTTCTGGCCATCCTCAGGGTCAAACATACCAGTTTCTTTACAGGTGATGTAGTGGATCATTCTGAGTTCTTGTATGTCAAAACTTACGTTTTTATTAGTGTTCATATATGGTCATCATTTCTGAAAAGAGAAAAAACAAAACAATAAATAGACTTGTGGATAATTGTAGAGGATAATTCTGTGTTCTTTCTTTCATGGCATGTCACTGACCTGTCCTCAGGGAAACATGCACAGACACAGACATCTATAGCCCACCATCCAGATGATACAAATTTACATTATATAAATAGAAAGATGAAATATATAGGGAAGAAAGAAAGTTAGAAAAGACCTCATGTTGCACAGCTCACTGGCCATGTGGTAACGACTGCCCATGAACTCATATGGAATGTTTTGTGCTTCTAAGTTGTGAGACCCTCAAGTGAGTCCCATCAAGACATCATGCTGCATTTTCTTCCTGTGGTACCCTCCCATGAAGGAATATCACAGGAGTTACAATAGAGGGCAGTCCTCTGTGTGTCTAGAGGATGCCTTGCTAAGGCATTGGAGGCTGTGCAGATCTTCACAAGGCCTCTTTCCCTGATTTGGATATGCTGTCTTGTCCCTGTATGTCATGCATGGCCATGCTCTGTGAGGATCTCTTTCTGGTTCTTGAATCGCAATTTTTCTGAAGATCACATCTGTCTTGTCCACCAAAAACCCCTCAGGACTCGGGAGGCAGAGGCAGGCAGATCTCTGTGAGTTCGAGGCCAGCCTGGTCTACAGAGCAAGATCCAGGACAGGCACCAAAACTACATAGAGAAACACTGTCTTGAAAAACCAACCCCCCCTCCCCCCAAAAAAACAACAATCAAACTAAACCAAACAAAACAAAACTCCCAAAACCAAACAAAACAAACACAAAACAAAACACCCTCAGACACTGAATTGTGCCTTCAAACCCCCTTTCCAGAAATCCCCCTGCCTACTACATACACTGGTGTGAGATCACTTTTTCACCTAAAGAATTTTCTGCAGTCACTCACCTGAAATGCATCCCTCCCCATATTCTCCTTGTTTCAAATCCCTGCCTACTCTGATTCTGCTGCCCTTAGATATAGGGCACATGTCATGGTTAAACATGACAGTGACCCCTATGTGAGGTCACAAGGCCAGGCCTCACTGGTTTGGGAAATCTCAAAGGCTGTCCAGGCACATGGGTACATTTTGGGCTAGTACTTATGGGAAGTATCTGAAGGCATCTTTTATAACCATTTCATGGGAAGAAGCTCAGATCCAGGCCTCCTCTTTCTCTAGGGAATTTTACCCCTGGGAAGAGCAAGTCCAGTGGGGATGAGGTGTGCACACTCAGCCCCGATGTGCAAAGTGTAACTCTTGGTTTATCATTTCTGATGCCCTGGTTTTCAGCAAGTTTCTCTCATCATGAAACTTGGAGTGTGCCGCCTTCTGGGCCCTGGGTACCAAACTGATTGATAAATTGTCCTACAGCCTGTTCTCTCGCCACCATTAAACCCAGCTTGAAGTAGGATTGCCCAGAAAGCAGGGTGTCATGAAGTCTCTGTACCTGGATGTGCAATGGTAGTCGATGACCTCTGAGAGCGTCACTCACTGGAGAACAGCACAACATCAGAACTTCATCCTGTACCAGTCTGCAGCACAGGCTGGGGGTGGCCATCCCTGGGCCTCATTGTCCGATGAGTTGTGGGTGTCATTCCCTTATTTTGACAATTTCTTGGCACACATTCCACTGGTACTGCAACTTTTTCCTACTGCTATAGCACAGGTCCTGTTAAAAGGTCACCTCAAGGACCACTTTGCGCCTCACATTACACCCTCCCACTTTTCAGTATAACACACTGTTAATTAGGCCTTCATCCCTGGAATCCTGTATGTATTTTTCCCACCACATAGCCCAAACCTCACTGCACACCTGCAAGCAAATCTTTCTGAATCCTGGCCCAACCCAGCAGACACTGACTTCCCTCACATCAACACCACAGCCTTTACCTTGGCAATGAGCTGTTATATGAGGTAACAGAGGCTTGACCACACCTCTGTCCAGCTTATTCCTCTGTGCCTGAGTGCAGCATGAGGAACAGCCATGGTTTCCCAAACTGTGCTGAGCACTCTGTCCCAGCACTGTGGAAGGCGTTCCCTGTGGTGAGTTCATCTTATGAACAAAGCCTGAATGTAGTGGGTAGCCATTCCAGCTTTGATCTGGAAGTTCCAACCCCCATTGAGGCTTCGGTAACTGTCACGCCTACATGGTGTGGCCGAGAGAGGACCCTGAAGACCCGAGATCCAGATGCGCTGGCTTTCTTGGTTCCTGGGCCCTGGACGCTGGAGGTAGACCGAGCAGAGTTCTCCAGAGAACACTGCCGGACTGCGCTACACCTTTCCCAGACCCTGTAAACTATCCCTTCACTTGTGAGTTACCCCACAAAATAAACCTCCCTTTTAACTGCGTGGAGTTGCCTTAATAATTTCACCAATACCTGAACATAAAGTTACCCTGTCTCATATGACAATGTGTATATTGGTAGGGAAGACACGTGACAGCATTCCATGTCCCCTGTAAGCACTTTCCCACGTATGACATGGACCTGCAGACAGAGCACACACACACACACACACACACACACACACACACACACACACACACACACAC